GGTCACCCTGTTACTTTGCATCCTGGGAATTCTTATATTGTGACCAATCCTTATAAATTTTCTAACTAAATTTATTTCATCCTGTCTAGAAGCCATCAAGCGACAAATGGCCCTGCCTTCTCTGCCGGCCCTGGCGCCTACCTCCTCACCTACAACAATCTACCAAGAACATGTACCAAAGTCCCCTGGAGAGACCCTGGAGAACCTACAAGAGGCCACTCTAACAGGGATCATCGGCCCCTACTCAGCATGAAGCAGCCGGATGAGTCAACGCCCCTACCCAATGATTTGGGCTTCTAGAATGGAGAATGGGGAATGTTAGGTAGATAGTGAGGGATTCCAGGTCTCCCAGGGACGACATTGGGTGCTGTTGCCCCCATCTTGGTCCTGCCCAACCCTAATTCTCCATACCTGGGGGAGGAGGGAATATCCTACGTATCTACCCATCAGAACTTGGTATGCCACCTGCAAAAGAATGCAGAGGACTCTCTCGCCCATGGGCCAAGCCACATGGATACCATAAAGTCTGGAAAGTGACCTAGAACCCACATGCGCAGTGAGACTCAGGTCATGCAGCTCCCCAACTGTCCAATCAAAGTGGTTCTATGGTGACATTTGAACCACGGGGAGGTCCCTATCCAGACACGGACACAAGACCCAGACCTATAACCAAACTCTCTTTTTGCGTCCTTCCTTTGGCTCTCACTTTGCTGCAACAATGGGTCATCATGTGTGGCATATGTTCCATGCTCTGTAAACCTGTATCTTGCTCTTGCCCTATAAGCCTACCTTTCTCTCCTCAGTAAACCTCATTTTCATGCTTGCCTTACTTTGGTGCATAAGGTCATTCTTTGGCCATGGGTGCGCCAAGAACCGATGTTTCAAACTGAAACCTGACAGTGTCAGATGCCACAGGGTAAGGGCTCAGTCCCCAAGACTGCTACCACCCCAACACCAGTCGCGAGTCCGGGCCTCTGGAGCTTCTGACTGACCAGCTTCAAATTTGGGTTCCCACCACCCTCTCCCTCTTTGGGTTCAATTAATTTGCTGGAGTGGCTCACAGAACTCGGGGGAATACTTACTTATACTTACCGATTTATTATAACAGATATTACAAAGGTTACAGATGAAGAGATGTGTAGGGTGAGGTATGGGAGAGGGGGTGCGGAGCTTCCATGCCCTCCGTGGCGTGCCACCCTCTGGGACCTTCTCACGTGCCGCTATCTGGGAGCTCCCTGAGCCCAGTCCTCTTGGATTTTTACGGAGGCTTCATTACACAGGCATGATTGACCATAATGTAGAAATGTGATTGGACAAAAAGCGCCTGATCTAGACCCAGCAAGGCCTGTCTGTTTTTCTTGGCCTCCCCGTGTAGCATTCTTTCCTCCAGGGTATGGGGCAAGACCCTTTCTGTAATGACAGTCTTTTGAATCCTGTGTTGGGCAGGTAAAAGGAGGACAGGAGGTCAGAGAGATTCTATCTCCTGAGGCCTAAAGTGCCCCAACTTTGTAACAAGGACTGTAGGAGTTATGAAATTCCATTGGAACTGCGGATGAAAACCAATATATTAATATATATCATAATACCATAATATCTACAATGTTTATAACTCAATATTAAGCAAAGAACCCAATAAAAATGGACAAAAAATAAGACATTTCATGAAAGAAGATATACAGATGGCCATTTTAAGCACATGAAAACACACTTAACACCATTAATCATCAGGGAAATGCATAAAAACCACAATGAGATACAACCATTAGAATAGCTAAAATCTGAAGGACAGGCAACACCAAATGTTGACAAGGATATGGAGCAACTAGAACTCTTACATATTGCTCATGAGTGTGTAAAATGTTACAACCATTGGACAAAGTTGGACAAAGTTGTGGCATCTAATAAAACTAAATATGCATCTACCCTTCAACCCAGTAATTTCACACCTAGGTATCTACTGAGAGAAATGAAAATATACGTCCACAAAAAAAGATGTGTAAGAATGTTCACAGCAGCATTATTCATAATAATGAATAGGAAAAAACCCAAATGTCTATCAGCTAGTGAACATATTAACAAATTATAGTATATTCATACACTGGAATACTACAAAGCAATAGAAAAGATGAATTACTGATACATGAAGCAACATGGATTAATCTCTCAGACATCATACTCATTGAAAGAAGTTAGACACAGAGTACACATTACATAATTCCATTTATATGGCAGTCTAGAACAGAAAAAATCTAAGAGGAAAGAAATCAGAATAGTGATTGCCTGGTTGTAGAGGGTGGGAGGACTAGGACGACATGCAAGGGAACTTGTGGGGTGAGGGAAACGTTCTTTATCTTAGTCAGGTTGGGGGTTACAAGAGGGTATTCCTTTGTCGAAACCCATTGAACTGCACACTTTTGTTCATTTTAATGTGTGCAAAATTTAATTCCCTTAAAGAAAATAACTTTAATAAAGAAAGACACTCAGCAGAAGTGGCTCACGCTTGTAATACCAGCACTTTGGGAGGTTGAGGCAGGAGGACTGCTTGAGGCCGGGAGTTCAAGACCAACCTGGGCAACAAAGCGAGACACCATCTCTACAAAAAGTAAAAAACAAAAAAAAATTAGCCAGGAATGGTAGCACACCTGTTGTGTTGAGGTGGGAGGATCACTGGAGCTTAGGAGTTCAAGGCTGCAGTGAGCTACGATTGAGCGATTGCACTCCAGCCTAGGCAACAGAGAAAGACCCCATCTCTAAAAAAAAAAGAAAAAAGAGAGAGAGGGAAAAGAAAAATACATGATCACGTGCGTACAATGCTAGAGCTTCTTGCCGGGCCTTGAAAGAGCCCATCCAAGAGAAAGGCTCTGAAGGTCACTTAAAGCTTCATTAGCTACACAGTAAATCTGCCCCTACCCTCAGCTCATATTCTGGCCCCACACTCGCTCAGTAGTGTGATTGTGGACAAGTTAGTATCTCAGTGCCATGAATCCCACATCTGTAAAATGGGACTAATTATGACCCTATCTCATTGGACTGGGTGAATAAATTTCATGAGATAACTTAAAACACTAACTGGTACGTAGTGAACTCTCAACAAATATTAACTATTATTTTGCAGACACAGTGTTCAGAGGAAAACTGTTTGGATAATTCTGCTAAGGGCGATGAAGGGCCTGTTGAAGTGTCCTGAGAAGGGAAGCAAAATGGTCAGATTTGCCTTTTAGGAATAATAACTGAAGCAGCAGCGGAGAGGATGAATAGGTGGAGGGAAGAATGGATTTGGAGCCCTATTAGGACTGTCCTAACATGAAAATGGATGAGACGTTATTGATCTAAAGAATTAAAAAAAAATACATAGTTGTATTCAAAGTATACAGGATTTGAACGTTTTAATAAAAATCTAAATAGAAGTAAAAATTAAAATGGTTTTTCATATTCAAAAATATTAAAATAGAGCTGGGCAATGTGGGCAATGTGACACATGCCTGTAATCCCAGCTAGTAGGGAAGCTGAGGCAGGAGGATCCTTTGAGCCCAGGAATTTGAGGTTACAGTGAGCTATGATTGTACCACTGCACTCCAGCCTGGGCAACAGAGCAAGACCCCAGTCTCTTAAAAAAAAAAATTCAAATTAATTCAAAATTACCTAGTAAAATAAAAGCCAAATAAATTATAATGAATATCAAATCTTAAAATAAAAGTTTTAAAAAT